GGCAACGCTACAGGCGCGCAAAGTTAAAAATGCCGATTTTCCCGAACTTTGATCTTTAACCTGCCAAACTAGGTCAAATATTGACCTATGGTCAAAAGTAATATGCGCAATCGCGAGCTCTCGTCGAGAGCAATACGCTGTTTTTCCGCTAAGCTCTACGACGACGCGTTTCGAAACGGCAGAAGGGGTCGCACTCCCCCTCCCTCCACTGGAAAGGATGGCGAAATGCCGTCCACGGGCGAGGGTTAAATTTTTAAATTGCAAAGTTCTTAAGCGCCGATTCGGGCAACTTTCATAACGGTAATACCGAGGGGCACGCATTCGTGACGCATGCCCAATAAATGTGAATTGTTATGTCACATTGACGTTATGTTACCATATAGTTTGGAGAAACAAAAAGTCTAGTTCAGACAGAATGAAGTTGTGGCATTTTTCGCTTATAGTTCGGCTCAGACTTCCGGTGAGATTTGTGCTTCCGGTACTTATTTGATAGGAACGGACTTTTTTTTTAGGTGAAATGAGCATTTTTGAGAAACATGGCAAGGTCATGTTTCTTAGCTGTTTCTTAGCTTAGCTGGCAGAGTGCATTGAGTGTCGCCGTTCGCCGACCAAGTGGCCCGCGCGCGCGCCGCCCAGTCCCACGCCGGCCGGGCGGCCTTGGCCCTGGCTTCTGATTGGCTGAGCGGTCCGTGTGACCAGGCGAGCCCGGTCGGCTGGGGTCGCGCCATCACGTGACCAGGGGATCCACGGGACCGGCTCCGAGGGCGCCCCGAGTCGCAGGTTGGCGGAAAAACCGGCTAACACCAGGTTTTAACCGTGCATTTTTGAGAAACATGGCAAACTTCCATTTATAGTTAATAAAAAGTGTGCTCATGCCTCATGGTCTGGAAGAGCAAGGTTAAGAGCAAGGAGCAAGGCCAAAAACATCAGGAGTTTTTCTATAAAACGTTGCGGTGAGAGCAAAGAGGGCGAGGAATTTAAGGACGATCCGAAACTACGTAGCGGCACACCATAAAACACAGAAGCCTCTTTAATCGCATTCCTACAGAAAGGGGTCTTTCCCCGGCTGGTCGGCCATATTACAGTAATACACCGTTTCACCATGTCTGTGGCCTGCCTGTGTAGGGGAACAGCTATCTGCTGACACCGCCCGGGCCCGCTCCCCGCAAACAGCCACCGTGATCAGTGAACTTCAAGCAAACCCAAAACTTTGCTGGAGAAATAATCCCAATATACACAGTACACACTGACGCACTAACTCCGCGCGGGCTGCGGCTGCATGAATCGCTCCCTTTCCCCGGCCTCCCTCCCCCACTCGGGGGGAGGGAGGCCGGGGCGGCTGCCTTCCGTGCGGCGGCTGACCCAAGTTCACCAGACAGCAGCCGCCTGGATCGGATACTGTTCCGCAGCACATTATCGGTACACTCTCTGATACACCAGACCTGTCCCGCTTCGGTCCCGGTATGAGCGCGGATTCTGCGCTCAATAGTACATATTATAGGAACCAGTAAAACGCCTTTTGGGCGAAGAACGAGCGAGCGAGATAGTGAGCCCTGCACGTGCGCAAGGGCGAGAGGGTACTTCCAACGGGCTTGTGCAAAGCACCCTTCTAACCGGTCGCTAGCGGTGTGCCAAATTTGAATGCAATCGGCCCAGCCGTTCCTGAGATCTGGAAGCGGCATTCTGCACGTGCGCACGTGCAAGCGGGGTCCAAACTGACTTTTGCACGGCACCCTACTAACTGGTCCCCAACCGTGTACCAAATTTGAGCGCAATCGGCCCAGCCGTTCTCGAGATCTGGGAGCGCCCCCTGCACGTGCGCACGTGCTGTAGCACCCCAACCTTAACACATGCAGATGAATTATCTGATGGAGACCTAACTGTGTACCGAGTTTCAATTCAATCGGCCCAACCGTTGTGCCGTTATTGAGGTTGCAATTTTGGGGGTTCTTAAAAAATGTCCAACTTTACCACGCGCCACGTGCGGTGGTTGGCAAGAACGCATGGTGGCCATCACACCACAGAACTTTTACGTCCAAGTGACATTCAGTAAAGAAGACCGCTTGTCAATCGGATGTCCCGTTCCTAAGATATTAGCTTTTGAAGAGCGTCCCCACGGCCGGCCGGCCGGCCGGCCGGCCGCTCATACTCAGGATTTTCCCTTAACCCTCGCCGGACCGATTTTGGCAGCATCGTGTTCGCCTCGCTCAGGCGCGTCGAATGATATACCAGGTCAACTTAGGGTGTTGACCTCAGGTCAAGGTCAGGTCAGCACCCCCAGGTCACGAAGTTGGTCGAAAGAGGTCATGTCGCATATCATTCGATTCGGCAGGTCTTCCTGAGTCCATTGGTGGCTTTCTCGACTCGCTAGCTCAATTTGGTCGGGAGTTATTGACGAAAAACTAATATGACCTTGATGACGTCATAAATGACGTCACGGAAGGTCAACATTGCAAAAGTGACGCATCTAACCTTGCAAGGAGTGCATCAAATCACGATTCTGTGTGCTTGAGATAGTTGGAGATCGTTCCCGGCGCCAGAATAGCAGTTTTCATTTTTCCCCATTGACTTATAATGGTGAGGTCACGAAAATGTCCTGACCTCATATGACCTTTAGGAAAAATCCGAGATATGCAAGTTGTGAGACTCATAATGGATACTAGATCCTGCAAGTTTCATTTCCCTGTGACATCTCCTCTGGCAGTGAGGGCGTTGCGAAGTTGCGACATCTGAAGACCGTGCAGAGGTTCACTTATGACGTCATAGGTCAGTGACCTGACCTGACCCAAAAATGCGGTTGGTGTCAAAAGATGCGGCTTGGATCAAAGGTCAGGTATGCCAAGTTTCAGCTCTCTATCGCCAGCGTGTTCGGAGCTATCGCGAAAAAAACCTATGGGGGGCGGCACCCGCCCCCCCCCTCGGCCGGCGAGGGTTAATTCAGTATGAACTCGCTCGCTCGCTGCGCTCGCTCGCTCGTAACTAATGTCTGAACCGGGACAGATGAGAAATGTGACCGGGGACCATCCTCCCCCCCATCCACCACCTACCCCGTCCACCGCATTGGCGCCGTCCATAACAAAAAAAAAAAAACATGTTAAGTTTTGGCAATCAACCAAAATATTTAATGTAAAGTAACGATAATTATTTTTAATTTCCAGCATGGGTGCATTCCGCGGTAATCCTACCAAAACCCTACCGCAACTCGCTGCATTGATAAGGACAAGGTAGGTATAATGCTGTGCTTTATGACAAGCGTACAGAAAAACAAATGCATAAAAGTGGGTGGCTGTACTCACCAAAGAAGAAAACGGCGCCACCCCTCTCAATTCGATCGTGCTTTGACCTGAACTGCCTCCCATGTTTTAGCAGCCGTTATAAACTGTAACACTAGCGCTGCCACAATCATTGCGCTGATCAAGTACGCAATAAGCACACCACCTCTAGATCACGTCCCTCGCCCCGCACACACAGAACACAACTGACCGAGAACGCAGACGCACCGACTACCGAGCCACCGCGCCGGAGCCGCTACGTTCACATGAGACGGCCGCCGGCCTCCCCCCTCCCCTCCCCCTCCCTCGGAGACGGCCGGCCGCCCGACCAATCAGCACGCAGGAACGAGAGGCGTCGCCGGCGGGCAGAGCGCGGGGGTGCCCCCGGGCTGGGAAGCCTACCAGCTTCTCACGGCTGCCAAGGGAATGTCCCCGGGCTGGGAAGCTCCCGAGCTTTCCACGGCTGATGAAAACGTGCTATGCTCAACAGTCGTATCTAGGGTTTATGATTGCAAGTCCAGTTCCTGTACGGGCTGTCGCCGTCCGGCTGTCAGGCTCTGCCACTGCCCATTGTGACTGTCAACTGCTTCCACTCTGAGCTCCTGTCCGCGCCCCCCCCCCCCCGCCGACCGACCGTTCCACATCACCCCCGCCCCCTCCCCACCTCTCGTGTTCTCGGCTGGACCGCGCCCGCGGCGTCCAGGTCACGTGATCAGCCGACCGGTCGCTGCTGGGGGGGGGGGACATAAAGTTGCCCCCCCCCTTACGTTTTGTGTAATATCTCCGACACCTGATGAGCTACGAACGTGAAACTTGGCATAGCTTCAAATGAATACCTAGGCAATGTTTGAAGAAAGTTTGATGGTTGTAGCATCTAAGATGACGTCACAGTGACGTCATAAAGTTTTGTCGTTTTCCGATATGGACCGTTTCTGATGACGCTGAGCATGAAACTCAACTGTAAATGAACTAGACAGCACCTGCTGTCATCCTAAAACATCTAAGTACACTTCCATCTAGTTCCTAACCAATAATCGGCCCTTTATATTCGGTCCCATATACCTGATGTATCGTGAGGAAACTGAGAGTCGCAAATCTATAATTTGACTTATGACGTCACTGTGACGTCATTTCAAATGGGATCGACACCAAATTTGGACACAACCTCGGCTAGGTATTCAGAAAGATGTGTGCAAAGTTTCGCTTCTCTATCTCTTCGCGTTGCGACGATATCGCCGCGGAAGTAAAGGGGGGCAACTATATGCCCCCCCCCCCAGCGGCCGGCGGGTGGCGCGGAGGCCCAGCGGCCGCCGGGTTAATCAGGTATTTAAATGACTTTTGCCGCCTCGACAATGTTGAAGGAAATTCTTTAAAATCGGAAATCACTCTTTTATAAATGAGCTCCAAGTCGAGCGAGACATAAAATACATTTAAACGAGGAGAAGGTCGCTGTGATTTTTTCGGAGGCATTCGTTAGCCGAGTCCCGCCTCTAGTACAAGTGGATGTGTGCGCGACCTCTATCAGTAATCACTGCCTGTCCCCGCCCCTGTGCATTGGTTACCGCCCCCACCCTCACCCAATGTCCCTCAGTAACCATTGCCTGTCCCTGCCCCTGTAGGTACATTGGTTATCGCCCCGCCCCCACCCAATGTCCCTCAGTAACCACTGCCTGTTCAGTCCACACCCTTCCACCTTACCTTACCTACAGCGCCGTCCACACCACAATACTCTCCCGTCCATTGTGGTTTATTTCTTAAATGAATTTATTAACTGTGTTTGTACAAATACATAATACATACGTTGTCATTTATAGCTAAGGTTCGTATAAATATTTACCTATAACCCCTCACTGTGCAATGTTCATCGCCTGATGTTGCACCACCTCGCCCAGCACTGCCTTGCACTCAAAATAGGGTGTGTTCAGCGGCAGCCGGCAGTATAAAGCATTCACTAAATATTTGCATACACATTGCAGTCATACATCAAGGCTTCAGTGGTCACACGCAGAGTTACACTTTGCAGCACTTCTCGCTACAAAAGGTACTTTTTACGAAGCAAAAATATGACCTAAAACAACATTCCTTACAAATCCTGTATACGTCTGCGGAGCTATGTCTGTATGCCGACTAGAAGCGCCTAATTAAAATCAGTGTCGCTGAGCACAACTGACAGCTTCAGTTGCTTTTTTCAGTCTCCCATCAGTGGGCCAGACGGCTGCCCATGGACAAAGGCGTGGACAGCTGACCAAGCCGGGCACTTCTCAGTCCAAACACAGGGCACCACGCGCTGAGGACGTCACCCAGTCGCACTGGTGCTGATGAAGTCATTTGACGCGCCTGTACTGGTGACGTCGCCTAGTACAGGTCGTCGTAATAGTCGTAGTCGTCGTATCCGCCGCCGTGGCCGCCGCCGTAGCCGCCGTGGCCGCCGTAGCCGCCGTGCTTCACGACGATTACACCGCCGCGGTCCCGCTTCTTACCGCCGCGACCGCGCCGCTTACCGCCGCCCTTCTTGCCGTCTGTCGGGGGAGAGGGGGAGTCAGACGGGGGAGAGGGAGAGAGGCAGCCTTCTTACCGTCTGTCGGGGGAGAGGGGAGAGTCAGACCAGGGGGGAGAGAGAGAGAGAGAGAGAGAGAGAGAGAGAGAGAGAGAGAAAGAAAGAAAGAGAAAGAGAGCCGCTTGTAGAGTTTCGAGTTCCTGATGGAGCTAAGTGCTAACGGAAGATTGGAGCTGCATTCCTGATAATTCACAGGCGTGCGTTTGTTATTCAGTAGACCCAAGTGATGCACAGTTCATCAAGTTTACGGACGAGTGTGCATCCGCGCAGTTGTCTTCTCCGCTGTGCCCTACCGACCGATTATTTTCCCCAAGCTCTGAGCGCTCCGTCCCGTCCATCGCTTGCAGTGCATGGTGCATTCCCGCCTCCTAACATCGACCCTTTTAAGGATGGCGCTCAATGAAATTTGCATTAATATGGCTTGAAGACTGAAGAGACATTGTTCAGGTACCGAATTTCGGAAAATTCCGTCTTTCCCCGAGGAATAATCGTGCAAGCTTGTAAGCCTGGTTCACGGCCGAGGCGGGCCTCCTTTTCTGCACTCGTGGCCTGCACGAATGCACCTATCTCTGACGTTCTCCAAAGTTTTGGTGGCTGCGGTTACCGGGAGACCAGTGCAGCCGCTGCCGCACAGTGGTCTCAGTCGATATCTGAGGGTGACCCCCGGCTGGTAACAGGGGGCTGGGGGGGGGGGGCGCCGGGGTGTCTGGTGAGTGCCCGGCTCCGCGCCGGTACATACCGGTCGGTCGGGGGCCGCCGCTCCCGGTTTTTGTCACCGATAGGTGTGCCGATCGAGGTCAGGTCACGGGGCACGCACCCGGTCGGCGCCGGCCGGTACCGGGCTCACGTGGGCCGATCGGAGGGCTGGTGGTGAGGATCGGATCACACTGAGGTGAGCCTTTCTGGCGCTCAGTGGCTCAGTGGGCACTGGGCACAGCTGCTCACGGCCGCAGCACGGCCCCGACTCTCCGTTCTCGGGATTGACTCCACACACATTTCTGCGTTTGGAGTCACTGTATTCAACACGCTCATCCATTCATAGCCAGTATCCTGTTATCGATTCATGACTGCTCCGGGAAACGTAAACAGATATTGAAATCAATAAATCAGTATATGATAGGTTATTGAATATTGACACAACGCATTTATTCAATGGCCACGCGTGAAGAGGAAATTGTCTTCTTTACCTCGGTGATGGTGTCAAGGTATGTATTATTTCGTCAAGTGTTCGTTAATCAAGTGAGAACTTCTGTATATTTTATTGTCTTTCAGACGAATAGCATTCATATCATTCCAATGACTACAAAATAATGACTATATGCATGCATGTATATAATTCATATAACCACATATGACGTTGACATTGTCTTTGTTTCCACCATCAATTTTCGTACTCAAATCAATTTTCATGGTCAAATTATGACTTGAGTGCGTTGATTTCGTAAGCATAATCGAATCATGCATGTATGTGGTTGCAACTAGAAAACGGGAAACCGGATTTCTCTCTTTTTCCCCCGGTCTTGTGGTGCATAGTTTTTCACGTAAAATGTAAAGCAGCTTCCTTCCAGCAAGCAACGAAGAAGACAATACTGAAGAGGATGATTTTTACGGTTATTGGGACTCCCACGAAGAAGCAAAAAAAAATATATCCCCCACTTTTACGACATTTTTTTATGTCCGTAAATATTTAACTCTGCTGGCTCCAAGACCTCTGTGCGAATCAGGCAGCAGAGCTCAAAGATGAGACATTGCCTCAGCGGCCGGAAGCTGTTTGGAAATACCCAATTGGCAATTAGTGCAACGCTTTTCACAGCAGAAAAACATGTGCATTGTGCTATTATAACGAATGGGCTGCTCTACTGGCCGTGCGGATTACATCTGACCAACAGCGGTGGACCCAGTTTGCTGGTTTGTAGTTTGTTGGTTAAGCTCACCACGAGCCCCACGCACTGATTCAATGGGAGGCTTATAGATGTCAGTCTTCGTTTACATTCCGACTCAATGACCCACGCATATTTTGACGTCACACTGACGTCATCTTAGGGACGAGTCAGGTAACATTGACGAGCTGCCTGCCTCAGTTCGGGGCCAGTTTTTACTGCCCGTGCTGTATGCGGGTGGTATGAGCACTGCGCGGCTGGGTCGGCACGCGTGAATGAAGCAGCAATGTCGTCCGCACATCGGCGGCCGGGTGCAGTGTTCCCATCAGCTATACGTTTGGCTGCCGTGTGTCGTCACATAGCGCAGCGGCGCGGTACGAACGGCTTTAACACAACTCTGACCGATCTAATGTTAGTATGTATATTGCAGATTTATGCTAGCTATGCCTCAACGGAACCGATTTCATACCCTTGATACGAGTGTATAGTCATATAGGTATTTTATGCATAGCTCAACTATAGAAAACGTCAAACTGCCAGCGTGACATGTTCTGCCAAGCTATATAACTATGTTTACATGGATGACGTAAAATTGGCATTGAACGGGCCGTTTATGGCCCATTGGCGGCGGAACATCTTCAATTAAGGTGGGGGGGGGACACTGCCGACTGTTGGTCCCACTCTTTCCATGCAACGCCCATAATAGGCTAATGTTAAAATCCCAGAATCAAAGGGGGCACGGTGCCCCGGTGCCCCTCCCCCCCGTTCCCGCGCCTATGGTGATGCCTTGAAAAAAGCCATAGAGTATGGATAACAAAATGTCAAGCATAGCTGGCAATAGGACACTTGTGATGTCTTTACTACTTATGCTTCTTGCTAGTTCTAAAATTTATAGATATTGTAAGGAAGGACGATTGGCACCGTGGTATGGGAAATTTGCATGCTGTAAGTTTACTCACTGTCGTACAGCCAGAACGGCGGGTAGTTGGACACGGCGTGGTGGTGGGTTTACTGTCCGTATTGGTGTACTCACTGTCGTACAGCCAGAAGGGCGGGTAGTTGGACACGGCGTGGTGGTGGGTTTACTGTCCGTATTGGTGTACTCACTGTCGTACAGCCAGAAGGGCGGGTAGTTGGACACGGCGTGGTGGTGGGTTTACTGTCCGTATTGGTGTACTCACTGTCGTACAGCCAGAACGGCGGGTAGTTGGACACGGCGTGGTGGTGGGTTTACTGTCCGTATTGGTGTACTCACTGTCGTACAGCCAGAACGGCGGGTAGTTGGACACGGCGTGGTGGTGGGTTTACTGTCCGTATTGGTGTACTCACTGTCGTACAGCCAGAAGGGCGGGTAGTTGGACACGGCGTGGTGGTGGGTTTACTGTCCGTATTGGTGTACTCACTGTCGTACAGCCAGAAGGGCGGGTAGTTGGACACGGCGTGGTGGTGGGTTTACTGTCCGTATTGGTGTACTCACTGTCGTACAGCCAGAACGGCGGGTAGTTGGACACGGCGTGGTGGTGGGTTTACTGTCCGTATTGGTGTACTCACTGTCGTACAGCCAGAACGGCGGGTAGTTGGACACGGCGTGGTGGTGGGTTTACTGTCCGTATTGGTGTACTCACTGTCGTACAGCCAGAAGGGCGGGTAGTTGGACACGGCGTGGTGGTGGGTTTACTGTCCGTATTGGTGTACTCACTGTCGTACAGCCAGAACGGCGGGTAGTTGGACACGGCGTGGTGGTGGGTTTACTGTCCGTATTGGTGTACTCACTGTCGTACAGCCAGAACGGCGGGTAGTTGGACACGGCGTGGTGGTGGGTTTACTGTCCGTATTGGTGTACTCACTGTCGTACAGCCAGAAGGGCGGGTAGTTGGACACGGCGTGGTGGTGGGTTTACTGTCCGTATTGGTGTACTCACTGTCGTACAGCCAGAACGGTGGGTAGTTGGACACGGCGTGGTGGTGGTTTTACTCTCCGTATTGGTGTACTCACTGTCGTACAGCCAGAAGGGCGGGTAGTTTGACACGGCGTGGTGGTGGGTTTACTGTCCGTATTGGTGTACTCACTGTCGTACAGCCAGAAGGGCGGGTAGTTGGACACGGCGTGGTGGTGGTTTTACTCTCCGTATTGGTGTACTCACTGTCGTACAGCCAGAAGGGCGGGTCGTTGGACACGGCGTGGTGGCGGGTTTACCGTCCGTATTGGTGTACTCACTGTCGTACAGCCAGAACGGCGGGTAGTTGGACACGGCGTGGTGGTGGGTTTACTGTCCGTATTGGTGTACTCACTGTCGTACAGCCAGAAGGGCGGGTAGTTGGACACGGCGTGGTGGTGGGTTTACTGTCCGTATTGGTGTACTCACTGTCGTACAGCCAGAAGGGCGGGTAGTTGGACACGGCGTGGCGGTGGGTTTGCTGTCCGTATTGGTGTACTCACTGTCGTACAGCCAGAAGGGCGGGTAGTTGGACACGGCGTGGCCCAGGCCGTAGTAGTGCCGCGTGTAGGCGTGCTTGACAAAGTGCTGAGGAGGGCCGCCGTACCCGTGGAAAAAGTTCTTGTTCCGGCCGCCAGCTGATGCGCGTGACGTCATCAGTGTGGCGATCACGGCGCAGCACAGCACCTGTAAGGAGGGGGGGGGGAGGTCAAAAGGTGCTGAGAGGCCACTGCCGGTGATACTTACTTTCTATATTATTTTATAGTGATCACCAAACCTGCAAGAATGATCACTTACGTGTCTTTCCCAATGGACTTTTTTCATTCTGAGTCCTGATATTTGACAAATGAAATGAACCAATAGTAACCCGAGCCCTGGTGGGGTCTGTTGGGGGGGTGGGGGGGGCTATTTTTGCCCCCTACCCCTCGTATCTCCGAAGCTACTGGGCGGATCCGCGAAGTTGAAACAGCGTTTGAAAGCCCGTCCGATTTGTTAAGGGAACTCCAATTTCATTGACCACAGGGTCACCGATGACGTCACAGGCCAGGTCAAAGATATAATGTTTTGCCGTTCGTGGGTCCTCTATAGGGAATGCGCTATAACATCGAGTAAAACGCATTTTATCGAAAATCATCTTCTCGATAGGGCGTCAGTTGCCTGGTACATAAGTTGCTATAAGAAGTCACTGATAATCCTACCAGGTCAGGTCACAGGTCAGGTCACCAAGAGTCAGCACATGAGCCCAATTTTACGAGGGCTGTGCGATGCATGTTTAATGGCCATTTTTTTCATTTCCAATCAATTTTGCTGGTCATAAGACCATCAGGAACGGTGTAGGTCACTTCCTGGTGGAGGGCAGGTCAATGTCAGGTCAAAAAAGGTAAAATTTTAAGGTTAATATGTTTGCATAAAATGGGTATTGATTCGATGCAGCTCGTCACGGCGAGTCTAATGGTGGTCTTTGTTTTGCGCTACGTTGTCTAGAATTGCTAAACATTGAGTTTGAATATTTGACGTCATCAGTTCTGAAGTTTTTTTTTTGCTATACCTAACTTGGCCAAAAAAGAGGGATCGATCTGAAATTTGGTATGTGAATAGAAGTCGGTAAGGGCTAACACATATATTCCGTTTTTTTTTTTCGAAAATCGAAAAACCTTTTGGATTTTTTGGCAATTATATTTTTTAAAAAATTGTTTTATTTTTGGGGGTTAAAATTCATAAAATTCAAAATTCGGAGATTTAAGTTTTGTAGCCCTGATAATTCTACACCTTTTATGCCTTAAACGTTTTTCTGTATCTTCAAAACTATAGGCCTGACAGCTGTTCTCGCGAAACCTTTTTTTGTCGAAAACGGCAGACCATGACGTCACTCTGACGTCATTTGCGGCCACGAATGCCTCCCTGTTCCATCGCCTACCCTCTGAGCCGATTTTCCGAAGTAGGTAGGTATATACTCACGGTAGTCCGAGCCCACGCCATGTCGTCTCCTCTGTCGGTGCCGCGGGCCGCTCTGTCTCCCCCGCTGCTCTCTCCACCGCCCTCTGCCTCCAGCTCGGTCCGACCCCGCTAACCAACTCCAGCCCGGTGTGCACTATCAGTCGCTTATATGTGACCCCGCGCCGCGAGGCCGGGCACTTTTTACACCCCCCCCCTCACCCCCTCAGCCGCGGCGGGGGACGGCGGCCCCCCGTGATGCACTGTCACCCCCCCCCCCCCCCCCACGGAATGAGAGCGCCACCGGTCATGAGGGAATGCGACGGCTGGAGGTCCTCGGCGCGCCGTCTGCCCGTCTCGGCGGGCCGCGGGGATGGACGGCTCTGCAGAGCTCCGCCGGTCGCCCCAGCTCGGGTTTTTGTGATCGAATCACGCGTCCGACCAGCCCCAGCAGCGGGCCAGTCACCATCAGCGACCACCCCGCTAAAACTTATCTGCCCATCGGCTCTGTACAACCGATGATATCGCGCGACTTTTTACTCAATCAGTAGTCGCATTCATTGCCTTATTGCATGCGGCATAAATATCCATTCAATGACAATACACGGGAGCGATTGTCATTACAGAGCTACACGGCCGCGGGCTGTGGCGGCCACGGGTCTTTGGTGTGGGTACTTTTGTTATTTGCAGTGTCTCGCAGCGGCCGATGATCGACTATTTCATGTGATGCAATGTAACTCCTATGCTAGTGTCAAGGCACCATGGGACAACTTCACACTCTTCTCTCTCTCTCTCTCTCTCTCTCTCTCTCTCTCTCTCTCTCTCTCTCTCTCTCTCTCTCTCTCTCTCTCTCTCTCTCTCTCTCTCTCTCTCTCTCTCTCTCTCTCTCTCTCTCTCTCTCTCTCTCTCTCTCTCTCTCTCTCTCTCTCTCTCTCTCTCTCTCTCTCTCTCTCTCTCTCTCTCTCTCTCTCTCTCCCCCCTCCCTCTTGTGTCTATATGCCCTTTATTTGACCATGAAGTTCGACGTAGTGCCACCGGACTGCCACGATAGGAACAAGTAGATTTTAATTTTTAGCTGCTCATTACATTAATTTGTTCGTATCAGCCCGAAGCCTAAAATGTGCTTTTACATTGCTGATGTCTTGTGGCTGATGTTAATGATACCATTGATTCCTGGAAAATATTCCTTATGCATGGATGAAGAAGCGGCTAAGTGTCATGCCCCCACAATAACTTTCAGGCTAGTGTTCAAGGTTTTCCTTGGGGCTTGCCGTTTGCATGGCTCACTAGCATAGGCGTAGGAACGTTTTCGAAAGTGGGGGGGCCAAGGTCCCAGAGGTCCAAAACCTAACCTACCCCCAAAATCCGATTTCTCCTCGGATTTCGACCACTTTGTTTTCGCAAACATGATCAGAGATAAAAAAAAAAAATCGAGACAAAAACAAAAACAAAATTGGTTAAAATTTCATGGAGACTCCCGTCCATAAACTCAAATTGATGGACGCGTTCCCCTGTCCTCCGCAGCCGTTGGCACCCATGCAAATTCCAGAGGCATCCAGCAACTTTTTCATTACGAGCAAGCGTGAAACGTGCAAAGCGAGTCTTTTCAATATACCTATAAAAATCAGCATGAACGGCCCAGCTAGGCTCAGCCAGACCTATAACGTTTTTAAGAGGTTTTATATCAGCGACCACTGCAACTGGGCTGATTGACTATCAGAGGCCGGTGTGGGACTTTTAGAGGTCGGTCTGGGCCATCAGAGGCCAGTTTAACCCTCGCATGACCGGACCTATAGTTTTTCTACATACGCGCCGGCCGAGGGGGCGGGGGGCGGGTACGACCCCCCTCGCCGTTGCGCCCTAGGTTGAGCTAGCGCGTCGCGGAAAAACGAGCGTGTGCGCCGTTACAAGACGCAGAGATCGATACCCAATTTTAAGGTTCTAGGTCAACCGGTGACCTCTGAGGTCAGGTCAAGTGCCTCAAGGCACGGTTCCGTTTTTGGTGAATAACTTCGCAAAAAACGGCCGCAGAGCCGCGATTTTGCCAGCATCGTGTTCGCCTCTCTCAGGCGCGTCGAATGATGTACTTTTTGTTTGGGTGAGGTAAACTGAGGGTGTTGACCACGGGTCAAGGTCAGGTCAGCGCCCCCAGGTCACGAAATTGGTCGAAGGAGGTCATGTCGCATATCATTCGATTCGGCAGGTCTTCCTGAGTCCATTGATGGCTTCCCCGACTCGCTAGCTCAATTTGATCGGTAGTTATTGACGACAAACTTATATGACCCTTATAACTTCATAAATGACGTCGCGCAAGGTCAACATTGCAAAAGTGACGCATCGAACCTTGCAAGGAGTGCATGAAAGATTCAGTGTGCTTGAGATAGTTGAAGATCGTTTACGGCGCCAGAAAAGTTTTCAGTTTATCCCCATTGACTTATACCTAATGGTGAGGTCACGAAAATGACCTTAGGAAAAATCCGAGATGTACAAGTTGTGAGACTCCTAATGGATACTAGGTCCTCCAAGGTTCATTTCCCTGTGAAATTTCCTCTGGCAGTGAGGGCGTTGCGAAGTTGCGACATCTGAAGACCATGCAGAGGTTCACTTATGACCTCATGGGTCAGTGACCTGATCTGACGCGAAAATGCGGTTGGTGTCAAAAGATCCGGCTTGATTCAAAGGTCAGGTATGCAAAGCTTCAGCTCTCTAGGTATCACCGGCGTGTTCGGAGCTATCGCGAAAAAAAAAACTATGGAGGGGCGGCACCCGCCGCCCCCCCCCCCCCCCCCATCAGCCGGTGAGGGTTGAGGCCCTCAGAGACCAGTACAGGGCCTGCAAAGGGCAGGATGAGACATTTAGATGCCGACTTGTGCCATCAGAGGCTAATGTGGGCCCTTACAGGCCAGCATGGGCCCTCAGAGGTCAGTGTGGGACCCTAAAATGCCGGCATGGGCCGGTGTTGGACCCCAGAGGCCAGCAGAAGGCCCTCAAAAACCAAGATGGGCCTCAGAGGCCAGCATCAGGTCTTCGGAATCCAGTGCAAGGCCCTCAGAGGCTAATGCGGGTCCTTGCAGGCCAGCATGGGCCCTTAGAGGTCAGTGTGGGGCCGTAACAGACCGGCATGGGCGGGACCTGGAACCTAGAGACCAGCGGAAGGCCCTCATAGGCCAAGGTGGGCCCTCAGAGGCCGATGCGGACCCTTAGAGACCGGCATAGGATCTTCAGAATCCAGTGCAGGGCCCTTAGAGGTCAATGTGGGACCCTAAAATACCAGCATGGGCCGGTGTTGGACCCCAGAGACCAGCAGAAGACCCTCAAAAACAAAGATGGGCCTCAGAGGCCGGCATCAGGTCTTCAGAATCCCGTACAATGCCCTCATAGGCTAATGACGGGTCCTTACAGGCCAGCATGGACCCTTAGAGGTCAGTGTGGGGCCCTAAAAGACCGGCATGGGCCGGCGTTGGACCTCTAAGGCCAAGATGGACCCTCAGAGGCCGATGCGGACCTTAGAGGCCGGCATCGGGTCTTCAGAAATCAGAATTCAGTGCAGGACCCTCAGAGGCACCTAAAGGTTAGTCTTGGGACCCCAGAGACAGAAATGAGGCCACCAGAGGCCGGTGTGAGGCCCTCAGACGCCGACTGGGCCCTTGAGGCCGGTTTAGGGGCCCTCAAATGAGGTCAATGTGGGTTCTCAGCGGTCAATGTCGGCGCTTGGCCGCCACTGAAGTGCCCTCCAAGATCAGTGTAGGACCCTCAAAGACTGGCTTGGGAGCTGTTAATAGCTAGCGTGGGATTCTTGAGCCTCGTGACAATCGAATAAGGGCCAGAGCCCCATACGCCCATGGGGGCCCGTTGGTTGTTTGGGGGGGGGCAAATGATATGATGGCCCCCTGATAAGCCTTTGGAGGGGGGAAGGGCATGGCCCTGATCCCCCCTCTGCGACCGCCACTGCACTGAAAGTGGAAGGGAAGGGGCAGATACAGACATTGCTGGCCCCCAGCCTGTTTGAGCCGAGGCGGGGGCATGGTCACCCTGGCCCCCAGCTAGTACGCCTTTGACGAACTATGCCGACCCCAAGCAGATCCGGTCAAGCGTTGGTCGTTTGTATACGCATTCTCCTGCACCGTGCTAGTATTGTCTTATACCTTTTCAGTGCTCGCTGTCCCGTGCCTCGTATTCAACAAAATGCTGTCACCAGGACCCACAGTCTTGTCTCTGATATGGTTTTCTTCATTGAGTGAAGGAAATTGCGGTCAATGACGCTGTAGAAACAAAAGGGAATCTTCATTAAAGGGCAAGCTGAATTGTTGTCAAGTTACCGGGTGGTAGCACTTATAGGTACAGACAGACACTTAAGTCAGCAAAAAGTGGGGGGGGCCATTTAACATTGCTGGCCCCCCCCCACCTCCGAAAGTGGGGGGGCCATGGCCCCCCCGGCCCCCCCTGTTCCTACGCCTATGCTCACTAGGCTCATTCCTTGTGGTTGTTTGCAGCGCATCCATAGCCAAGTGCAGCTAGGATAAAAATAGCTTCGCAGGACTTTCCATTCCATTATCGGCCAGTCATATGCTCAGTGGCATGGAACATCAGTGCAAAGTTTGTGTTACTTTAAAGCACATATTTTCATTGTCCGGTATGCATTGTTCCTGTGTCAGAAGTGTCGGCTGTTGACGGCTCCTGCTCCTGTTTAATTAGCCCACCTGGTTGTTGCCAGCTGTGTCTTCTCACACTGGCACCGGGCCCTGACCTGACCCGGTTCACCGCGCGCCGGCCGCCTGTTCCTAAGCCACGCGCCGCCGCGGGGGAGGGGTGACGACCCCCTACTCAGAGGTGACCGCCGCTAATTGATCACGTGACCGGCTACTGAGACCGATCACTGAGCGCCGCACCGGACTGTCGGCTGGGGGGGGAGTGGGGGGGGGGGGGGCTCCGGTGACTTCAATGAGTCGACTTCGAGCCTGCTCTGGGCCTCGCAGTTCGCTGGCTGTCTAAGCGACACAAGGCCACAGGCGGCAGAGCGGGTCACGGGTAGCCGAGCGGGCCCG